AACTGGCGGTCAGTTTCAGCAGCGGCTGAATCTGGATGCCAGTTCCGACTTACGTACAGATTCAACTTAAGAACAAACCTACAGTATATCTTGTACGTAACCCGGGGACTGCCTGTAAACTATTTCAGATTTCTTGTTACGTGCCCACGCACACAAACACACAGTACATGCAGTGCTTAACTAAATATATTACACATTACTAAAGTTAGAAGTGGCAGAAGCTTCCAAAAGATGGAGGCGGCACCAGAGCCCAAAACTGTGGTGCCACCACCTCTTTCCCCAAAAACCCCTCCATGCCACCTCTTTCCCCTCAGCCTCCCCCCCTCACTCCTCTCCTACCCTCTACCCCATCACAACCTTACTGCCTCTAAAAAGTGCTGAGAAATGGCTCCTTGGCCTCCCCTGTGAGATGTGGAGCACTTAAGATCAGGTGATTTGTGGCTGCAGCACATGACTTATGAGGAGAGGCTGAGAGATTTGTCTACAAGAGAGAAAAGTGAAGGGGGATTTGATAGCAACCTTCAGCTACCAGAAAGGGAGGCGGGGGGGTCCAAAGAGGTTGGAGAGAGGCTGTTCTCAGTGATGACAGAATGAGGAACAATGGTCTCAAGTTGCAGTGTGGTAGGTGTAGATATGATATTAAGAAAAACTATTTCATTAAGAGAGTGGGGAAGCACTGGAATGGGTTACTTAGGAAGGCAGTGGAATCTCTATTCCAGTTTGACAAAGCCCTGGCTGGACTGATTAGGGATTGGTCCTGCTTTTAGTAAGGTGTTGGTCTAGTCCAGGGGTGTCCAAACTTTTTTCAAAAAGAGCCAGATTTGATTAAGTGAACATGCGTGAGGGCCGACCATTTTGCCTGACATTCTTTGAACCATTAAAATTAAATGCAAATTAACTATTTTATGCAAAGTTTATTGGAAACAGCATACTTTTCATTTCGTCACATGGATGACAAATCTAAACAGGTGTTAAATCACTCTGCCTTTCATATCTGAAGGCCAGATGAAAAAAAAATCCAGGAAGCTGAAATATATGTCAGGAACATTGTAAAGTACATTACATATTATTGGTAATAAAGGTTGTCTGTCAACTTTTAAGTTCAAAAAATATGAACAGGAACATAACACCACGTATACATGTTGTGTCCAAATATATTTATAACTGATTTAGACCAACTGACATTAACTGAGATTTTACAATGTATTCATCTCAATACATATGGATTCATTGGGGGCAATAAAAGATAGATATTGCCAAATTACCTGTGGGGCCGTATTAAACTAGAACACGGGCCACAATTGGCCCGCGGGCCGGACTTTGGACATGCCTGGTCTAGTCGGTGGTGCCCGTGGGTGCCAGGGCGCCCACTGGGGCATTTATGTGCGCCCGCCAAGTGACCAGGGCTGGCCCAACCATTCTTGTGCCCCAGGCACGCGGCAAATGCGCGGCGCCAGCCCTGGGTGCACGGCACATGTGCAGTCCTGCCCCCAGGTACCCGGCAGCCCCAAAAGGTTGGGGACCAGTGGATTAGATGACCTCTTGGGGTAGCTTCCAAACCTACGTTTTTATTATTCTAGGCGCTTGCCTTCTTTGCACTGACTATATTGGGGACTGAAGAAACTCAGCATATTTTAGGAGCAGACACAATGTATAGTTTTGACACTGAAGTTCATAATATGACTATTCATTTTTCAGAAACGCTTAGGATTGTGGCAAAATAATACTGTAATACAAGAGGAAGATATTTCTCTTCCCTCCTTGTAACCGAAATCTAAGCAAATTAGGCATGATAATGTTTTTGCTTTCTGTTAAGAACTAATCAATCAACTGTTAGTGGAAACTTAGTAACTAAGACACCTGCTTCCTTCAGTTAATACCACTACTGTACAACTGAAAAAAATATAAAAAAGCGGAGAAGTACTACTGCACATGTAAGCATCCTATTTTCTACAGAATTCTGATTCCCCTCCAAAGGTCTCACAACCCACAATAGTAGGCTATATTAAAGTGACCTTAGTAAGTTGTTAGAATTAATAAAGGATCAATGATAAATGTAAAGTCCAGCAAGTCAACAGATTGGTTACATCCATGACACATAACCAGGGCTGTCACTAGAGGGATTGGAGGCCTGGGGCAAACCCCCATCTCCAGTGCCTGACTCAAAACAACTTCTCCACACCACAGGTCCTGCCCTGTCCCCTTGCCAAAACTCCAC